CTCCTAACGTTAAATAACTTTCGGAATTGGCTTTTTGCTCGTTTGTGATGATAATTCTCTAAATGTAGCGGCACAATATTTGGGTTATTTCTGCATAATTTGCTTTTCGATGAAGAGATTTGTATTACTGTCCTTGTGGAATTTAAGATCTTTTTTGGTGCATTAAAAGAAAAATTATGCTAATGGGGAATTTTGAATCTTGATTAGGTCTGTAAACGAGCAGAGTTCGAGCTTAAGGTGCTCGAGGTCGAGCCAGAAATGAAGCTCTAGCTCAGCTCACATCTCACTATTAACGAGTCGATTTATTCCCAAAATACGTGACGGCCAAAGTACACTTAATATCTCTACCTAATAGAATTGGGCATTTCCAGAAGTTACTAAGCTACAAATCATGAACCCCTAAAACTTACGGCCAAAAAATAACTGCAGTTAATTTATACCTGTCTAAAGCTCCGAATGAAGTGTGGTAGAGTTATATTATGACGAATTATAGTGATCGAGAATTTTGACTTAACCTGTGTGTTAACATTCAGGTTGTGGAGGAACTGGGAACATTATGTGCTCCGAATGTGGTGGCCGGGGCCACATTTGACCGGGCTTCTATGAACAAGGTTTGCTTCTTCCAAAACCAGTTGCATCTTAGGATGTAATAAAGAGCGATATGTATGCTTTTTATGTTGTGTATTAATCAATTTGTTGTATCAGATGATGAACCAAAGTGAAATTGGTTTAATATAATGCAACTTTATTGATTTTTCAATGATGAAATTCCAACAGAAATATATTTCAATGGAATTCAACCGACAATACCACTGAATATTCCAGTGTTATGATTTTCGTTGGAATTTTTCATAATGTTAGAATGAATTTTCCATTAAAATTTTACAACTTGTATGCTGCATATGGCTTTTTCTGCAGACCCATTCCATTTATTTTTTGCTAAGATAATAAAATCATATTTAAGTAAAAATTTAGGCAAAATTGTAATTTTAGTCCTGTTGGATTTATTCAGTGGCGTTTTTAGTCTTAATAATTGAACATTTTTGCTATTTCGTCCTATGATTTTAAAATTCAACGCAAATTTTTTTAGTCCTCTGGGACTGAAAATACAAGAAAATTTAAAATTACAGGAAAAGATTTTTATTAATAATTTAAGTCCTGTGATTTTAAATTTTTTTGCAATTTCAGTCCCAAATGACTGAAATTGCAGCAAAATACTAAATTACTAGATCAAAAGACAAAAAGTTGAGATTTTGGGACTAAAAGTGCTACAACGTTTGTGAAACGAGCAGGACTAAAAATGTAATTTTGTCAAAAAATGCAATTTTGCCAAAAAATTATATTAAAGTATGTATGTAATGAATTTTAAGGAAACGATCAAATATAAGATTTTTTTTAGAGAACTTTTGTCTTGTTCAGAAAATGTGATGGAAAAGATGAGTTAAGTTGATTTTGAAAAAAAAAAGACATGTTTATTTGAGATTGTGAATGAATCATTGGTGGTTAGAAATATATTTCTTAATATTATTACTAGTTAACTACTTCATAAGTGTGATTAAACTTATTCTTATAAAAATGTAATAATATATTTATTAAGTAATATTGGTAGTTAGAAATAATAAGTACCAATATTAGTTAACAACCTAATCATTGGAAATTATTGTCGAATTTAAAAAATATATATACAATAACAATAACAATAATAACAATAATAATAATAATAATAATAATAATAATAATAATAATAATAATAATAATAATAAATTTCCAGATTTTATGTCAGTCAGTTAGCTGAAAACAATATCCAATTGCAAATATAATAACACCACAACGCGCATCAAACGTTCCCGGGTTTTTCCTTTTGACCTTTGCACGTCGCCAACTTTGTGCCACCCTCAAAATCATTAAAAAAATAATAATAATATTAAATAAATAATAAATTAAATTAAATTAAAATAAATTAATTTTTTCTTCCTCTTAACATTTCTCTATATATACTC